GATGGGGTGGATGTTGGGGTGAGCCAACTGGTAGCCCTGGATCGGGACCTGGGTGGTAGCTGAATTGGTCAGTCCGCCAGCTCTCCTGTATCCTCACTACCTAGGCAAGCTTACCCAATGCTACAGGCAAGGTTCAGGCTTGCCTTGAATTATATTGCCCAGGCAGTCCTATAACTTTGAGTGCTGGACTATGGGCTTGCACCACTAGGGAAGGATTTTAAAGACACAGCACCTGGATGTGTCCAACCTATGGCCTAAGGGCTGTGTGCCCTATTTTGCTAAGGATAGCTATGGATAGCACCCAAAATTGTAAACTTACTGACACTGAGATTAAAAAAAAAAACAACTGGACTGTGTGGCTTTTGAGAGTGAAATTGGCAGACCATAACGTCATGTCACAGTGTCATGAGGTTGGGCAGGCCTGTTGTTGTCAGGGCTGACTGTAGTTTTGGTTACTCAGTGGAGAGGCACTGATTTGAGCCTGATTGTGGCTTTCTAATTTCTTATTTTGTAGCCAGGGATTAAACTCAGGTCTCACACCTAAGCAAATGCTCTACCCCTGAGCTATGGGACCATCCTGAAGGCTCTGAGAATCCTTAATTATTCTTTCTGTCTATAGTTTGTCTATAGCCAATTCATGGGGATCGTTCTGTAGCGTCCCCTCTTAAGAACACTGAACTTTGGGGCTGGTGGTGTGGCACACATGCTTAGCACGATCAGAGCTCTTTATGCTATTTCCAGCTCCCAAATAAAATGCAACGCACCAAACTGCCTAGTTAAATTAACTAAATAAACTGGGCGTTGGTGGTGCATGCCTTTAATCCCAGCACTCGGGAGGCAGAGGCAGGTGGATCTCTGTGAGTTCGAGACCAGCCTGGACTACCAAGTGAATTCCAGGACAGGCTCCAAAGCCACAGAGAAACCCTGTCTCGAAAAACCAAAAAAAAAAAAATTAACTAAATTACACGTGTAGACTGGCTCCAGGTGGCTGGAGCATTTCGGAGTGAAGTCTGATGAGCTATGCTGAGATCCACAAGGGAGAGAGCAGGGCCTTTCCACTGTCCACTACCCTGTCCTCGGAGCCCAGGGTATGTGTGGCAGGTTGTTCAACGTGTAAGTGTTGCATGCATCTTCAAAGAAAGGAGGACACTCATAGCTGCATCTTTCACAGCCATTCCATTCCTTGTCCTATCAGAAGATTTCTGGAGCAGTCCTAAGCCCTCTGCTTTTCACATTCAGGATGGAAACTTCTTTGGATGAAGCAACCGCCTTTGTACCTGTTTCTTTTTTCTTTTTTTTTCCGAGACAGGGTTTCTCTGTATTGTTTTGGAGGCTGTCCTGGAACTCGCTCTGTAGATCAGGCTGTCCACGAACTCACAGAGATCCACCTGCCTCTGCCTTCCGAGTGCTGGGATTAAAGGCGCGTGCCACCAACGCCCGTCTTGCACCTGTTTCTTAATGCCACCTTGGGCTATATTCAGCTACTTGTGCCTTTCTTGTTACTGTGTCTTAGCCTGTGTCTTTGCCCAGAGTGCTTAGTCATCTCTTCTGCCAGTCTGTTGAAGTGTTTGTAGTTCAGGGAGCCTTCCTCCACTCAGGCTATCTCGTGGAGGTTGCTTGTCTTGAGGCTCTTTTTTTTGGTTTTTCGAAACAGGGTTTCTCTGTATTGTTTTTGGAGGCTGTCCTGGAACTCACTTTGTAGACCAGGCTGGCCTCGAACTCACAGAGATCCGCCTGCCTTTGCCTCCCGAGTGCTGGGATTAAAGGCGTGTGCCACCAACGCCTGGCTGTCTCGAGGCTCTTGACACATGACTGGCTCATTTGACTCCACTGTCACACCATGAAGCCCCAAGGAGAGGGACTGTGTATTGAGTTGTCTACCAGCATGGCTGCAGTGAGCTCTGTCAGGGGTGGGTATCTATGCCTGTCGGTTGCTTTTCATTGGAAATGATTGTCACTTCTACCTTGGACAGGCCCTGGAGGTCATCAGGGGCTGCCAAGGCCTGAATGTGGTGGGCTGCGATCTTGTGGAAGTTTCCCCACCGTACGATCTCTCAGGTGAGTAAAGAGGAAGAATGATCCACATGCAGTTGGTAGTTTAAATTAGATTCATCTAGTAAGTTAGGTCTCCATGTTTACCTCAGGCACCCTATGGAGAATGTCCAGCTGTGGAGAGGGAAGCCTGCTACCACAAATGGGACAAACATGAGCTAATGAACCAAACAAATCCCCTGGGAGGTGCCAGGTGTTATTAGTTAAGAGAAAGCCAACAGCCTGCCGTTCAGTGACAGGGTGACTCACTCACATCTGCCTTTGATACTGCACTGAAAAGTGAATTTGCAAGCATGTTTTACGTGAAGCAGGGAGTTGTAACAGCTGACACCTGAGCAAAGCAGAGGTCATCCCACTAATTCTAACTGGAAGAAAAAACTAAAACAAACAAATACAACATCTTCCAGTCAGGCCTACTGGCCTGAGGGTGGGCTAGGAGCAGCACCTGTCATCAGTATAGATGTCCCTCAGAACTCTCAGACTGTCTCCAAACCATGTGTGGTGGGGACTGAGGGCACGTTCACAGGCAGACAGCACCCGGAGCTCAGAAGCCAAGGCTCTGGGAAGGTCAGCAGGCAAGGGTCCTGGAGACGGGGTTTCAGGGAAGTATTGACCATCTTCACTGTTTCTTCCTCCTTCCTAGGCAACACAGCCCTCCTAGCAGCTAACCTGATGTTTGAGATGCTGTGTGCTCTCCCCAAAGTGAAAACTGTCTGAGTCTGTGTTCTTCAAGACAAAACAGATTGTCCTGACAAACCTGAGGACTTTTGAGCAAGCAGTGAGGGACTATAGCAAGCTTTCTGTGAAGTGTCACCGCTGGCTGCAAACAAGGACAATTCAGGGCGTTAGCCCAAACAGCTCGTGTTTCTTTCCTTTTTAACATTAAAACTCTATTTAATTTTATGTATGTGCCTGAGTTCGTGTATGTGTACCATATGTGTGCAGGAGCCTGTGCAGTTAGGAGGAGGGTTTGGGTCCCTTGGAGTTGGAGTTACAGGCAGATGCGAGCCACTATTGGGTTGGGGGAAGGGAACCCAAGTCCTCTGCAATGGGAAGCACCCTCAACTGATGAGCCTTCCATCCTTTTTCCCTTTGGATTTTCGAGCCACCTCTCAGGGCTGCTGTGCCTGAAAGCCAGTGGCATGCAGTGACAGTGTGTCCGTGATGAAATCATCTTGCAATCCCAGAGGTGCCCCAGAGCCATCACACATTAAAATAGTTTATTTGTTTCCAGTCCGTAAGATTTTTTAAAACAAAATAAAACATTAGCTTTAGTGCCTGTTCACAATACAAAAACAAAAAACAAAACTGAAAAGTAAAAACATAAAACATAAAAAGACACAATTTGCCAAATAAGTTATTTGTTCTTAATAGTATCAAAAGTGCAAAATATTCGCCTTCCTCTCAGGTGTGTACATTTCATTACCATCCTCTAATTATTCAACTGGTTATTTACTTTGTGGTGCTAGGATCAATGTAAGTGTTCTAACCACCGTGTAACACCTCGGCCTGGTAGCACTTGTTTAAGAAGTTTTCTTTGTTTTTTTGAGACAAGGTCTCATGGCTCAAGCTGGCTTCACCTGCTCATGCTAAGGATGACCTGAGCTCCTGACCCTCCTACCTCTGCTTCCTGAGTGCTGAGATTACAGGTGTGTACCACCACATCTGGCCTCTTGCAACAATATTTAAGGGATTCTACCTAATTTCCTCCCTCATCACTGGGGATCAAACCCAGGGGCTCACACACACTAGGTAAATGCTTCCCCACTGAACTCCAGCTCCAGTATGGAATTCTACTTTGAAAACACAACAGAAGCAGAGAGCTTGTTTCCAGTTCCTAGCCTAGGCAAAGCAAGTAGGCCAGACCCAGTTTATTACTATTTTAACGCCAGGGAAACACACGATGGTGGCTGAAAATGAATTAGCACTAGGTAAAAGTCTGGGAGTGAGGAGACTGACCCATCTGAAAGCCAATTCTTTTGGGTGGTGGCAGGTGGCAGGAGAGCTGCCTGCTTCTGCAATGTCTCGAGGCAGCCTGTCACCGCTGGGTTAGACAAACAGCAGCCAGTCCAAGTGGCAGCAAGAGTATTTTCACACAGACCGCCCATCTACCGAACATGATTCAAAGGCTGTCTTGAGCCTCCTCAAACAACTGAAACTGGGTCCTGTGATACTACATTCATTAGCATGAGAAACCTTGGCATTTGGTTGAGCATAAAAGTAGCTCATATTTGACACAAAAAATAACAAATTCATGAAAACAACATTCAGGAAGAAAGGCTTGTATCTGTCACAGGTAGACTTGTGGTGCACGCCTGTAAGCCCAGTACTTGGGAGGCTGAGGAAGGCAGGCCCTGAGATGGGAGGCCAGCCTGGGCTACATAGTGAGACTCTGTCTTAAAGCAACCAAACCAAAGCTCTGTGATCTCCTTGGTGACACCACCCTCCATCCGATCTGCAGGGATTCGGGACTCAAATTTGCCAGGAACAGCATCAATCCCATTACCACTTCCTTCTCTCAGCCCCAGTGGAAGGGCCTTTTATCTTCTTGGTACAGTTTTGAAGAAAGAACAAATATCTGGGGAGTTTTTGGTTTTCAGAAATTACATGTCAAAGAACTTTATCAGTTCCAGAAATGTAAAGACAAAAATCTATCAATGAGTTAAAACGTACTCACAAGAGGAGCCCCATAAAATACAAACAAAGAAAAAAAACACAACCCCAAAGCCAACACGCTTGTGTGATACTGGGGGGTAGAACTCGGCTTTGCAAATGCTAGGCAAGTATTCTACTCCCTAGCTCACCCTCAGCCTCCAGAAATGCATTGTGAGGACTGGGCACTGAGGAGCCAAATGCCTGCCTCCCCCTTTCTAGCTGGGCCAGGGCATGAGAAGCAGCTTAGACAGTCAGCATGTCTGATGGCCACATGGAAGAATGAAGCCTGGCAGTGATTTCTCTACTTTTTAATAAAGCTGAAGACTCTTTGAAAACTACAGAGGGTCCTGGGCTCAGATAGTTTATCACTTACCATTGGAGCTCAGTGTTTAAAGTAGTCAGGATCCGAGGTGCTTGGTTCAAAGCAATTATGATTACTTATGAATACTAACTGAATGTCCTGTCCCTGATTTGTGCCTTTCACTTTACAAAAGGGCACTTGCTTGACAGTAGAACACACCATGCATGACAGTTGTCCGAACTCCCCTTGTGGTTTGGCCCTAAAAACAAAGGGTGTGTTGAAAGGGCGAACATGATCCGGCCCTGAGCCTGAGGTGCGTGGAGCCAGGCAAGCTGCATTTGATGGGTCTGATCTCGCAGCAGGAAGCAGCGATAAGGGAAGGAGGAAACAACTGAGCTGAGAAGCCAAAATGCAGGCCAGAAGTAGGATGCTAGCTGCCTGCCGGACAGGAGTCTGGAACAAGTCTCAGCTCACAGTCAAGAGACGACTTGAAGATTCAGCACTTTGGGGACAACAATGTTCAAAATCAATTGTCAGAGAGGTCAGGTTCCTTGGTACGAAGACACGCCTGGTATTTTACTCGCGAGCAAGCGAGGCAGGGAGGGCTCCTGCACCTGGCTCTTGGCGGACAGGAGTAACTGCAGTCATCTACTGGCTCTATGGCAGCTTATCTACGCTCAGAGAACACGATCACAGGTTATGGCTCCTAGTATTCAAACTCTAAAATCCAGAGGCAGGAAGGCATCTGGAGACAGGTCAGTGGCTCAGTCATTACAGCGCTTCCGGCTAGGCAGACTCTGCCCTGGCTATGAGGGTGCTAACCCGAGTGCAGTGAGGGGACAGGGCCAGGGAACAAGGGACGGTCTGGAAGGATCACAGGGTCAGTGTTCAACCCTCCCTTCTCTTGGTGGGGGAAGACAAAATGTAAAGGCTGCACCCTCACACACTGCTCAGCCCCTTCCTTTCAAAGCCATGGCTGGCCAACTGTTGTGGGGGATACCCCCAAAATATACTTCTCAATGCTTGCTTCCAGAAGACATTCATATGTAAAATTGCTTAGAACTAGGCCTCTTTTGAAGATGCAGGACCTAGAAACTGGTAGGCTGTCCTCTGTTGAGAGCACTCGCCTTGGCAGAAGCATGGCAGGGCCAGAGCCTATGAGGGGGCGGTGTGACCCACCCTGCATGACAGGTTCATGAGGGTCCTGAGGTTTGTCCAGGCACGACTCAAGGTCAAGCCCTGGGTTTCTCCAACCTAAGGACAGGGAAGTGTGAGTATGTTACAGGGCAGTTAAAAAAGAGATGAGCAGTCTATTTTAAATAGTGCGGCATTCATATGGGGACGAGAAAACCCAAAGGGAAAGAGTTTCATCTAGGGATCAAACCTGTGATGTGTTTTACTCCTAGGTGACAAAGGAAAGGTCTTCTAGCCATTGCTCTAGAAGAGAAATCTAAAACCTAGACTCTCCTGAAAATCCCTGTTGCTGGGGCATGTTAAAAACCTGAAGAGTCCATGTCTCAGTCTAGCTCAGGCCATGATGGGATGTAAAACCTTTGCAAGGAACCTTCCAGCAGACGCTCCATCCACAAGGACAACTTGCTCAGCTTGCCCTTGAGGGGCTTGGGCCCAAGGCCACAGGGAGGCTTCCCTCTGGAGGAGTCAGGGTCGCAGGAACCTATGGCCTCCTCGTCCACTGTCTTTAGGGGCTTGAAAAGGCAGAAATACTTCTTGTGGCCGTTCAGGGCCAGCACGTAGCCAGTGTAGTCCCGCTCCATGAAGTGCTTATCATACTGGTTTGGGATCGGGGCTGCGTCCTGAGCAAACTCCAGCAGGTACTCCAGCCACTCTCGGTGCTTGTCCAGACTGAGGAAGGAGAAGTGGAGGCTGCTGCTCCTGAGGAAGAGCAGAGGGAAGGCGGTCAGGAGGAGACTCAGCTGCAGCCACTAAGGGGAGCGCAGCACTTGGGACAGGGTTGAAGGGCCAGGAAAGGCTTGTGCTGGCTGAACTTAGAAAAGGTTTCTGTGGTCCTGGGGGTGGGGTGGGGTGTTCACGCTTCTTCAGAACCAGCAAGACATGGAAGTCAAGCGAGAGTGGCAGGGAGCGGTGTGCCTGTAATCCTAGCACTTGGAAGGTAGAGGCACGATTGATTTCTGTGTTTGAGAGCATTCAGGGCTACACAGAAAGTACCAGATCAAGTCAGTTATGGTGGCGCTCACCTTTCTTCCCAGTACGGGAGGCAGAGGCAGGCAGATCTCTGTGAGCTTGAGGCCAGCCTGGTCTACAGTTTCAGGACAGCCAAGCTATGCAGAGAAACCTTGTCTCAAAAAACCAAAATAAATAAAAACCAAACAAACAAAAGTCAAGAGAAGGTCCCAGTGATGGTAGATGTCTGTCCTCAAGTGGGAAGTGTGAGCTGTCTTCCAATCTCTTTTATCCCAAGTGGCAGACACTAACACGTGTAGGCACACACAAACTACACACCACACAATCAAGTGTTTGTACGCACGCACACACGCACGCACACGCATGAGTGCACGCACACACGCATGAGCGCACACCTGCTTACCCGGTGAACGTGTAGACCTCTAAAGCAAATTTCTGTAGCAGGCTTGTCTTGGTGGAATTGGACAGGATGAGGACCACATTCATGTGGCCTGGCCTCAGGCGTACCAAATTGCTGGTGTATGTCACATCTGTGAGTTCAGTAACCTCCACAAAGCCTTTTTTAGGAATCTTGCTGTGGAGAAACACAGAGGGGTTTAGAGATTATCGGGATTCGGGGTGGAAACCAGTGGAAGCCAGGCGTGGTAGCACATGCTGTAACCCTAACACCTGGGCAGTAGAGGCAGGAGGATGAGAGAGGAACCTGCTGTTTTCTTTGGTGAAGGCTGGCTCCGTCTTCGCGGGCTTCTCAGGGGCCTCTTCTTTATCTGGGGGCTGTGCCTCTCCTTCCTCACTTGAGTCGCTACAGAGTGAAAACAGAAGTTATCTTTCTTCTTACGTTTTAGGGGTATAAATGACCATGGCAGATTGGGGCCCCCACTGATAGCCCCTAGACTTACCTGAAAGCCTGGACAATGACAGTGCCAAAGAGTATGAAGAGGGCTGAGAAGATAAGGGACAGCAGGGGCATCATCTCTCGCCTGAAAGCAAAGGCGGCTCTGTTAGCTGCACATCTGCTGTCCCGGGAGGAAAAGGTCCCAAGCCAAAAGCCTTTCACCAAGAAACAACTACAGGATAGGCTGCTTCTGGGTGTGTGTGTGGGGGGGACTGTTTCCTCAGTGTCCTAGTCACAGAGACTGTATTCTGGAAGGCAGCTTTAGGCTGTGTCTAGTACATTCTGCAGAAGATGAAGGATTTAAGTTGGACACAGGGAAGGACTTCCTGCCACTGAGGTATATCTATTGGTAGCTACAGAGTCTGTGGAATGATCTCAATCTAACTGATTCTTCTGTGGCCACAATGATCAAATGTGGCTAGATGGAACAGGGAGGTCACAGTCAGCTGTCACTTCAGCTGTCAACTTGATACACACAAGAGTCACCTGGAAAGAGGGAACCTCAGCAGGAGAGTTTCCTCTATCAGACTGGCCTATGGGCGTGTCTGTAGGGCATTTTCTTGATTACTAATTGACATGGGAGAGCCCAGCCCACTGTGGGTGGTACCACCCATGGTCAGGCAGACCTGGGCAGTGTAAGAAAGGTAGCTGAGCCAGGCGTTGGTGGTGCATGCCTTTAATCCCAGCACTTGGGAGGCAGAGGCAGGTGGATCTCTGTGAGTTCGAGGTCAGCCTGGTCTACAGAGCGAGTGCCAGGATAGGCTCCAAAGCTACACACAGAAACCCTCCTCCGCAGTCCCTGCTTTAGCTCCTGCCTTTGCTTGTAAGCCAAAAACCATTTCTTTCCCAAGCATATCTGTGAATGTACACTGGACTCTGTGTGTCAGGCCCTGGGCTGAGTGGCAGACATGCCGTGAAGAAAGAACCAGTACTGGGCTGGAGTGATGGCTCAGAGGTTAAGAGCACTGACTGCTTTTCTAGAGGTCCTGAGTTCAATTCCCAGCAACCACATAGTGGCTCACAACCATTTATAATGAGACCTGGTGCCCTCTGCTGGCATGCAGGGATACATGCAGACAGAACACTCTACACATAATAAATAAATCTTAAAAAACAAAAAGGCTCAGTATGAGTTCAGCTGATAGGGAGGCCAGCTGGGGTGGTCCTTCCCTCACAGCAGGATGTAACAGTCAGCAAATATTAAGAAGTAGAGCAAAGAAAAAAGAAGTCTGTCACTGGCCCATGAGAACATGTGAACCCTGCCACCTCCAGTAGCAACTGCACACTGAGACCCAAAATAGTCTTTCTTTCTTTTTGGCTTTTCGAGACAGGGTTTCTCTGTATTGTTTTGTAGGCTGTCCTGGAACTCGCTCTGTAGACCAGGCTGGCCTCGAACTCACAGAGATCCCCCTGCCTCTGCCTCCCGAGTGCTGGGATTAAAGGCGTGCATCACCAATGCCCAGCAAGAACAGTCTTTCTAGAGCTTCGAGACTTCCTTTGACTGCCAACAGCAGGTGCACACTGACATTCTGAATGACTGTGTCTGGCTTTGACAGGAAAAACAAACAAACAAAGAAACCCACAGGGTCCTACCAGTTACTGTGAAGCAGGCTCTCCCACCAGTCTGAGAGGGAGTCAGAAACAGAGTAGAGCCACCGGAGGAAAAACACCTGTTGGAGAGGAAACAGGCAGTGGTCAGAGCTGGGCCCAGAGGGAGACCCCATACATCCCAACAGAGCACTTCTTCGAATTCCTGCTCTGACCCTGATCCCCCACCCCCCATCTTTTCTGACCCTGATGCTCACAGGGGCAAGTTCATCAGTCAGGTCAGGGAGGACGGCCTCAGAGGACAGAAAGGCAGGATCTTTCCGAAGCTGGTCAAGATAACCCAAAAGGATGAACTTATCACTCTCACTGCCCGTCCAGGGGTCTTCTAGGGTTTTAAACACCACCCTCCCTGCTGTGTTTCGCCTTTCCAAGATGGACACCTGGGAGAAAAGGAGAAAAACCATTAGGAGTCTCCAAAGAAGCAGGATAGAATGATACCAGGAATCCCAGGCCCTGGGAGTCTGAGGCAGGAGGATGGAGAGTTTGAGCCTAGTCTGGATTTACACAGCTACATCGTGTGTGTGCGCACATGTTTTTTCAGGGAGGATGAACAAAAGGGTCTCATAGGGCAGCACTTAAGCTAGCACACAAATATTTATGTGTTTACAGTGTTTGTGAGAGACGCTGAGAGGAATCATTACTATGTGAACTGACTGTGTACTTGTGAGGAAGACCCTGAACTCGCCTCCATCTCACCAGCCTCCCTGGTTAAACTGTGCTAGGGAGGCAATCCAGGGTCTTGTGCATGTCAGATGGGCATTCTACCAGGTGAACCATATCCTTAGTGCAGGAATTAGTATTGTTTGAGAGGAGGTCTCACTAAAAAATTTATTCATGGAATGGGAGAGGTGGCCTTCTCCAGGAAAGAGTACACCAATTGGTTGCCAAGTGCCCAACAGTCGGTTCTGAAAACATAATATAAAGGTAGTTTTATTTAGGAATGTATGCACATGAATTTGAAGGAGAGTGACAAGGGTTTGAGAGGGTTTGGAGGGAAGAAAGGGAAAAATGTAATTTCATTATAAGCTCGAAGAAAGTTTAAAAACTGTATTCATTATTTATATGTGTACATGTGTGGGCCTGCATGAGTTTACACGCACCACATACATTCAGGAACCCTCAGAGGCCAGAAGAACATGCCAACTCCTCTGGAACTGGGGTTACAGGTGGTTGAGTTTCCATGTGGGTGCTGGGAACAGAACCCAGGTGTCTTCCAAGAACAGCTAATGATCTTAACCACTGAGTCAATACCCAGGCTAATTTTTGCTTGTTTTTTTTTTTTTTTTTTTTTTTTTTTTTTTTGAGACAGGATCCCCTGCAGCCCAGCCTGGCCTGAAACTTTGTCTTCCCGCCTCTACCTCCTGAGTGCTAGGATTACAGGCACATGCCACTGCAACTGGCCAGAGTCCTGGCTCTTATGGTGACCCAGGATTACAGGAACATGCAACTGCAACTGGCCAGAGTCCTGGCTCTTATGGTGACCCAGGATTACAGGAACATGCAACTGCAACTGGCCAGAGTCCTGGCTCTTATGGTGACCCAGGATTACAGGAACATGCAACTGCAACTGGTCACAGTCATGGCTCTTATGGTGACCCAGGATTACAGGAACATGCAACTGCAACTGGCCAGAGTCCTGGCTCTTATGGTGACCCAGGATTACAGGAACATGCAACTGCAACTGGCCAGAGTCCTGGCTCTTATGGTGACCCAGGATTACAGGAACATGCAACTGCAACTGGCCAGAGTCCTGGCTCTTATGGTGACCCAGGATTACAGGAACATGCAACTGCAACTGGTCACAGTCCTGGCTCTTATGGTGACCCAGGATTACAGGAACATGCAACTGCAACTGGCCAGAGTCCTGGCTCTTATGGTGACCCAGGATTACAGGAACATGCAACTGCAACTGGCCAGAGTCCTGGCTCTTATGGTGACCCAGGATTACAGGAACATGCAACTGCAACTGGTCACAGTCATGGCTCTTATGGTGACTTTCCAAAGCTTTGGTCAAAATTCTTAACCTTTTTTCTCCCAACAGATTTTGTGTGACAGCCTCGGATATAATGTTAAAGAGCCTTGGTGTTGTAGAGAGCATTTGAATGACAACCGAATGAGAACAGAGAAGGAGGGTCACTTCCTTCCTTTCTACATGCCAGAGATGAAACCCAGGATCTTGTGCGTTTCGGGCAAATACTCTCATCCCAGGCCTCTGGGAGGAGGGTGGTGAAGATGTGAGAAAGGTTTCTAAGCACATTAGCCATGGCCTGAGACTGGGAGAACTGGGCTTCTAGAGTTCTGCACTACCATACCTGACCCTAGGAAAAACCCTCCCTCATGCAGAAGTGGCTCAGCGGGGAGGGAGGCCTGGAGCCCACATGGGGTAAGTAAAATGGAGGTCTGATTAAGAATCCAACCAGACCTCAGACGTTTCCAGATATTGCATTCTGTATTCAGCACTCCTAAGGCAGGAGGAATGGGGGTGAGGGTTGGGGCCCATGGCTCACCCCTGACTTCCCTTGGAACGCCTCGCTGTCTGGTAGCAAGGTGCTGGCAAACTCCTGCTGCCGGCTGCTGTAGACATGCACGAACCGCACCGTGTCTTGCGTGTTAGCCAGGGCAAATGAGAGGAAGGCTTCAAAGGGTTTACTTAGCTTGCTAGTCTCGGTCGTCAGCAAAACCACACAGTACCTGCACACAAATAAGAGAGGAGGCCCTAGAACCAATTCCAGGGCAGGGCCAGGCCTGGCAATGACTGCTAAGGAAAGAGGAGACACACCTTGCATGATGAAAACCTGTCCCTATGAGGAAGCTTTTAGAAGCCATCTATCTCGTCTCCTCTCTCAGGAAGGAGTGGCTGGATCTATCTTAGAGCAGAGATGACCAAACCTCATTCTGAAGGGGCTGAATCTGTGAGGTTCTAATGGAAGCCTAGTGTCCATGTATTTACTCTTCCCAACATTTACTGAGCTCTCAGGCAACATTCCTACCCTTGTTCCAGGGAAGAAAACAGACATCAGACACACAGATACTGAATGGGTATGACCGTGAGAAAGAGGAAGGGACAGAAAGGCTGGCATGGAGTGGAAGTCGTGTCATGCAGACCAGGAAAATGCCACCTGATGTTTGTGCGGGGGCTTGAATGAAGAAGTGCTGTAGAGGTGACCTGGGTTTGGAGAGATCAATGGCAGCAGTTGGAGAACTGACAGAAGAATAGGGAATGGATGGGAGCAGAGACCCTAAGGGACATGTGGCCTGCTCAAGAGTGGAAGTGGTGAAACGGTGAGATGCCAGACAGATCTTAAAATGTATGTGTGTCAGGGCACGTGTGGATCAATTCTCTCCTTCTGTCACATGGGCCTCAGAGGTCAAACCCAGGCGGTCAGGCTTGCCAATAAGTGCCTTTACTTGCTGAGCCATCCTGCTGGTCCTCCTGGTATCTGCTAGATACGGTGGCCCATGCCTATCATTTCAGCATGAGGTGCAAAGGGACCCTGAACTAAGGACCCTGACCCTGTCACAGTTTAGCCACCCTGCAGGAAGACACCACTGCCCCCTCCCACTTCAGTAAAGGCCGAGCCTGGAGTTCCTACTTCCTCTGTCGGTGAGACCGCTTCACGGGGCAGAGTTCATGGAACAGCCTCTGGCTGGTGAGCCGGGCCGCCAGCAGGTACTTGTTCTGCGTGATGAAGTCCTCAATGACCTGCTTCTTCAGTCCTCGAGCCTGGAGAAACACCAACAAGCACACAGTCCTCACACTGCAAATGGGCTTTTCTCACAAGCTTGTGAAGACCATGGCTGACTCCTGGCTATGGCAACATCACCAGGCAGGAAACGTGCGGAGATGTTGGATAACTCAGGTGAAGGTGATGATGCAGCCAGGTCATGCTAAGGGGAAAATCAAGGTTTCTACGGTGTGACTGTTTACCGTTTTTTACACTAATAGCTTAGAAAAGTCAATCATTTTGAATTTTACACAAATATATTTCCACTTAGGATATATAACAAACCTAACAATTCAAAATAAATCCCAGGGTCAGGGAGGAGGCTCAGTGGCAGAATGCTGGTCTAATATGCCTCAGGCCCTGGGTTCAATCAACAGTGCCTCAAAAAAGACAAAACGAAACAAAACACCAAACAGCGGTAGTGCTTGTTTTTGTTTTTGTTTTTTTTTGAGACAGGGTCTTTCTATGTACCTTGGCTGGTCTGGAATTTGCTATGTAGACCAGGCTGGCCTCAAAGTCACAGAGATCCATCTGTCCACCCCCGAGTGCTGGGGTTATATCATGTGCCGCTGTGCCCACTCCCCCTTTAAGACAGGGTCTCCTGTAGCCCAGGCTGGAACCTAACTGCTATGAAGCTGAGGTTGACCCTGGACTTCTGATGCTCCTGTCTACCTTCCTAGTGCCGGGACTGCAGGCATGTGCCACCACACCCAGTTTGTGTGGTGCCAGGACTGGTGAATGCGGAGGGTTCACATGCTCTAGGAGACATCCCAGCCCTCCCCACACACACCGTTACTAAGAATGAAGAGGCACACCACAAAATGGTACACTGATTCTTTGTCACTGCTTTCGTGCATTTGAAAGGACAGACATGACAGAGGAGAAGCAACCGGCCTCAGATGATTACTTAGCAAATCCTAAAGACAGAACAGATGAATGACTATCAACACATTTGCAAAGCTGCTGATGATACAAAGTCAATATTTGAGGACCAACTGCATCCCTTCTATCGGCAGAGAGAAAGTATAACATGCGGTCTCACAAGTATGAAGTAGGATCCCTTCTATCGGCAGAGAGAAAGTATAACATGCAGTCTCATGAGTATGAAGTAGGATCCCTTCTATCGGCAGAGAGAAAGTACAACATGCGGTCTCACAAGTATGAAGTAGGATCCCTTCTATCGGCAGAGAGAAAGTACAACATGCGGTCTCACAAGTATGAAGTAGGATCCCTTCTATCGGCAGAGAGAAAGTACAACATGCGGTCTCACGAGTATGAAGTAGGATCCCTTCTATCGGCAGAGAGAAAGTACAACATGCGGTCTCACGAGTATGAAGTAGGATCCCTTCTATCGGCAGAGAGAAAGTACAACATGCGGTCTCACGAGTATGAAGTAGGATCCCTTCTATCGGCAGAGAGAAAGTACAACATGCGGTCTCACAAGTATGAAGTAGGATCCCTTCTATCGGCAGAGAGAAAGTACAACATGCGGTCTCACAAGTATGAAGTAGGATCCCTTCTATCGGCAGAGAGAAAGTACAACATGCGGTCTCACAAGTATGAAGTAGGATCCCTTCTATCGGCAGAGAGAAAGTACAACATGCGGTCTCACAAGTATGAAGTAGGATCCCTTCTATCGGCAGAGAGAAAGTACAACATGCGGTCTCACAAGTATGAAGTAGGATCCCTTCTATCGGCAGAGAGAAAGTACAACATGCGGTCTCACAAGTATGAAGTAGGATCCCTTCTATCGGCAGAGAGAAAGTACAACATGCGGTCTCACAAGTATGAAGTAGGATCCCTTCTATCGGCAGAGAGAAAGTATAACATGCGGTCTCATGAGTATGAAGTAGGATCCCTTCTATCGGCAGAGAGAAAGTACAACATGCGGTCTCACGAGTATGAAGTAGGATCCCTTCTATCGGCAGAGAGAAAGTACAACATGCGGTCTCACAAGTATGAAGTAGGATCCCTTCTATCGGCAGAGAGAAAGTACAACATGCGGTCTCACGAGTATGAAGCGGGGTGAGCTGATACATAAGATCCTGGGCCAGTGAGAGGGCTCAGTGGGTAAGGGGGCTTGCCTGACATCTGAGTTTAGTCCCCAACCCACAGCGTGGAAGGGAAAACTAACTTCCACAAGCTGTCCTCTGACCTCCACACAAGCACATGAATGTGCGCACACACACACAAATAAATAAATGTAAATTAAAAAAAGCTTAGTATCTTCAAAAACCAACCACTCACTGACATACCCACAGCCTTCCGTGCTCTGTTATCTTCCCGCCTCTTTAAGAGCTGAGACAGGGTGTCAACAGCCCAGGCTGGCCTGGGACTCTCTGTGTTAACTGAGGATGTCCTTGAACATCTCTCCTCTTGCTTCTGCCTCCTGAGCGCTGGGGTCACAGGCCTGCACCCGCGTTCCTGGCCTCTACAGTGCTGGGGTCCAAGCTGGGGCTTTGTGTCTGCCAGGCAAGCACCTCACAAATAAACTACTGCCACAGCGCCCTTCTACTGTCGCCTATGTTAGCTCTGAAGTCTCATTTTCTCAGCCTCCAAAGTGCTCCATCAAGTCCAGCTTCCTCCTGCCTTCCCTAAGCTGTCCCTGTCCACCCGTGTAAGGGTCACTTCCTGCAGTCTTTGCTATAGGAGCTAAGTCAGCATTCCTAAGACGAATTCGTTCTTTTCGTTCCCTATCAGCTATTTCCTGTTTGGTTCGGCCCCTCCCAATGACCTTCCTTATTTCTAGTTTCACACAGCCCTATTCTATACAACTGTAGATTGCCTTTAGGCCTTTCCTCCGTGACTGAACCATTTTTTTCTTTTTTGATTTTTCAAAACAGGGTTTCTCGGTGAAACACTCCTGACTGTCCTGGAACTCACTCTGTAGACCAGGCTGGCCTCAAACTCACTGAGATCTGCCTGCTTCTGCCTCCTAAGTGCCGAGATTAAAGGCATGCACCACCACCTTGAGGCTTTTGACTGAACCACTTTAGGTACAGTCTAACTGGATACCCCAGTCAGCACTGTAGTCACTACACAGCAGTCAGGACCAAAATGATGGCTCTGTGCATGAGTTAGGCAAACAAAAGGCTGTCCAGAAGAAGCCATCAGGTCTCCCGGAACTGGAGTTAGAGGGGGTTGTAAGTCACCCCACACAGGTGCAGGGAGCTCAATTCTGGCACTCTGGGTCCTCTGGAAGGGCAGTACATCTTTTTAACTGCGGAGCCATCTCTCCAACCCTCCAAAAAAAGTATTTAATAAAACTTAGGAGTCTCACTTAGGAGTCAAGGGCCAGTGGGCATGGTGGAGCACACCTTTAATCCTAGCATTCAGGAGGCAGACAGAGCTCTGTGAGTTCAAGGTCAGACTAGTCTGTACACTGAGTGAGACCTTGTTTAAAAATCAACCCCCCCCAAACCAACAGACACCTCTTCTCTCAAACCAACACCTCTCCTGCTTCAGCTTTCAGAGTACTGGAATTCCAGGTATGTGCCATCTCAGATAAAAAATTTTTTTTTGGTTTTACGAGACAAGGTTTCTCTGTATTATTTTGGAGGCTGTCGGTCCAGCCTAGCCTTGAACTCACAGAGATCCGCCTGCCTCTGCCTCCCGAGTGCTGGGATCAAAGGCGTGCGCCACCACCGCCCGGCAAAATAATTTCTTTAAGTAAAACATCACTCTGTCAGATAAAAAAAAAATAGCAAAACTTAGTGCATCAGTAGAAAGGGCAAATGGTTTCTCCATTTCTCCTCAGTTTTGTTCAGTTTGTCTTTGTCTGATTCATTCATTAATAATGGGTGTGCCTGAGCACATGAGGAGGTCAAGGATGACCTGTAGGAGTTGGTTTTCTCCTTCCACCACATGGGTCCCAGGTAGAGAACTCTGGCTGTCAGGCTAGGCAGCAAACACATTATCCACTGAGTCACTGGCCTTTAAGCCATCTTGATCGCTCCATTCCTTTCCCTCCTCTTTCTTGGAGACAAAGTCTCACTGGTGCTCAGGCTAGCCTCAGACTCATCATGTGGCTGAGAATGACCTTGAACTCCTGATTGTTCCATGCTGGGACTATACAGCTCGCTTCAGTTCGTTGCTTATTTACACAGGGCTGAGGTAGAATGAAGGACGTCTTGACATGAGGTGATTCTCACGTACCTGGATCACATCAGCAGGCTTGCTGATGTGCTCTTTAAAGATCAGCATGGCGGGGGCATAGACATTGACGTTATACTGCCTGGTCATCTCTTCCACACCTCTCAGGCCCATGTACACATAGCCGAATGACACATAGTCTTTGTATGCAAAAGCTGTCAACTGTGAGGGCACAAGAGAGGAAGGAGATGAAATGGACAGCTTGGCAGGCAGCTTACAAAGCCGGTGGCCCTGCTAATGTCAGCGGCTGGGATGAGCTGTCAGTTTACGGATCCCCACGAGTCTTCTTTACCCTCATTCACTTCAGGGATTCTCCCATATTCTATGCACAAAGTGTGTGTGTGTGTGTGTGTGTGTGTGTGTGTGTGTGTGTGTGTGTGTGCGTCTCCAATCCAGCAACAAACTACCACAGAGCGAGCAGCCTTATCTGAAACACTTGAGACCAGAAATGGTCCACCTTTTTTGTTTGGAATATTAGCATATCCATAATGAAGCACCAAATTTAAACACAAAAAGTTTGCATGGTCCACAGACATCTCATACACACAGCTGTGCATGTGTTAGTGTGACTATGTCTTGTGTTAGTGTGACTATGTCTTGTATGTTTTAGTGTGACTATGTCTTGTATGTTTTAGTGTGACTATGTCTTGTATGTTTTAGTGTGACTATGTCTTGTATGTTTTAGTGTGACTATGTCTTGTATGTGTTAGTGTGACTATGTCTTGTATGTGTTAGTGTGACTATGTCTTGTATGTTTTAGTGTGACTATGTCTTGTATGTGTTAGTGTGACTATGTCTTGTATGTGTTAGTGTGACTATGTCTTGTATGTTTTAGTGTGACTATGTCTTGACTGTGATCCGTCACATGAGGTCAGCAGTGGAATTTCCTGCTTATGGCATCAAGTCAATATTCAAGAGTTTTCTGATTTGGGATTTTAAGATTAGAGATGCTCACCATGTAGTTATACAAAAGACAAGTAGGTTAACAGGCTACGACACGGAGCTGGCTCAGAACGTGAACCACTGCTCTAGCAAGTGATTACCTTGTATAGCAGCGGCACTGCCGGCGTCTGGCCAAAAAGGAGGGCGTGAGGCTTGTTCTCCTGCTGCCAGCCAGAGAGGAATCGCACGTAATTTTTATTTGTGACCTTAAATCGGAAATAGAGGATTAGTTGCACTACTTAATTTTTAAAAGATTTATTTATTTTTATTTGTATATGAATGTTTGCCTGCATGTAAGTGTGCATACCACACACAGGTCAGAAGTGGGCATCAAATCCCCTGAACCTGGAGTTCCAATGCTCGTGAGCTGCCATGTGGCTGGGAACTGAAGTCACATGAACGCATGAATGAGTCATAAATCCCATCATGTGATCTAACTTTGTTGTTGTTTAAGAAACAACTGTGACTTCAGATCAGGTTCCTGAGATGGGTACCACTTGTGAGCTGGTATTAATAGAGTGACCTTTGCCCGGGTCTGTAGTCCTGCCTCAGTCTCCAGTCTCCAGGCCTTTTCAGTGCGATAAGGTGTAATGAGATGGTATACGCTTGGCTGCCCGGAGTGCAGGTCAGGAGCTGCAAGCTGGCAGCCCGTTCTCAGCAGACACTCACCTTCTCCACCAAGTTCCCTGGAAGAAGACTCTCCACGAACTGCCGTAGGTTCTCATGAACTACAGCGTTGTGGAAGAAGGAGATTTTCCCATTGATGATCCCTAGGATGGAGGGGGTGCTGTGTGCTCCCAGGTGATGGGCCAGGCGTCTTTCATAGCCAGCATGGACGACACCAATCCCCACACCTGAAAATCACGGAAGAGTCCATGAAGCCTTTGAGACTCCAGCAGGAAGGAAATGCTGACAAGTCCTTTAGAGTGGGATGTGAAACCCAACCGGGTTGGAGTGGGAATGTATGTATGTATGTATGTATGTATGTATGTATGTATGTATGTATATGTGTGCATATATATGTATATTTCAATTTTATGAGCATTGGTGTTTTGCCTGCATGTATGTTTGTGTGAAGATGTTAGCTCTTGGAGTTACAGGCAGTTGTGAGCTGTCCTGTGGGTGCTGGGAACTGAACCCAGGTCCTCTGAGAGAGCGGTCAGGGCTTTTAACCACCGAGCCATCTCTCTAGCCATAGAGTAGATATTTTTCTAACAGCTTGTTTAGTATTCTTTCACTGTTAGAATTCCAGATTGGTCAGTTTTTCTATAGAACAATCTGGTAATAGTTACAAATAATTGTAACCCGCAACATCTTTTAAGCCTGTTATTTCTGATTCTGGGAGCAGGTCATGAGGAAATGTTTTAAGAAAAAAAGAGGGCTAGAAAGATGGTTCAGCCAATAAAGGAGAACTGACTGTCAGGTTGCCCTCTGACCTTTGTGCAGTTTTTCTATACACATGCATGCACACTCACTAAATAAATCAGAGAGAGAGAGCGAGCACAATCTGTATATCATGGGCCTACCCATAAACAAAGATGTATTCACAAGTTGAGCGGCCACTGACTCAGCAACCGTGTCCCACCCAGCACCATGGCCTATGACTTAGCAACAGAAAAAGGTCACATTTTCTCACCTTTGGAAACACATCTCCCTTTTATACACTTTACTTTATTGAGATACAGAAAAATAAATACTTTGGGTCCATGAGATGGCTCAGTGGGTAAAGGAGCTTGCTGTACGAGACCAACCACCTGGGCTTGACTCCTGGAACCCATGGAAAGGTAGAAGAAGAGAACCACCTCTAGAGTTGTCTCTGACCCTCATATGCTTGCTGACACATTTAATCCCCTCCAGAACCCCCCACACAATTAGAAACAATTTAAAAACTACAAATTCTCAGGCTGGAGAGGTGGTTCAGAAGTTAAGGGCACTGGCTGCACTGGGATCTAGGTTCAATTCCCAGCATCCACACGGTGACTCACAGCTGTCTATCACTCCAGTTCCAGAGGATCAGACACCCTCATGGCCTCCTCAGGTACCAGGAACACATATGGTGCATACACGTACACACTGGGTTGGGTGATGGTGTACATTTTTAATTCCAGCACTGGGAGGCAGAGGCAGATAGACCTCTGTGAGTTTGAGGTCAGGCATCAAGTTCCATGCCAGTCAATGCTACATAAAGAGACCGCGTCTTAGTCTCTGTTCTATTGCTGTGAAGAGACACCATGACCATGGCAACTCTTACAAAGGAAAAGTATTAGCTGGGCGTTGGTGTCACATGTCTTTAACCCCAGCACTCGAAAGGCAGAGGCAGGTGAATCTGTGAGTTTGAAGCCAGCCTGGTCTACAGATTGAGTTCCAGGACAGGCTCCAAAGCAATACAGAGAAACCCTGTCTCAACAAACAAAACAAAACAAAACAAACAAACAAACAAACAAACAAAGGAAAAGTATTTAACTGGGGCTGGCTTACAGTTTCAGAGGTTTAGTCCACTGCCGTCATGACAAGGAGCATGGAAGGAGCATGCAGGCAGACAGAGTGCTCAGAAGAGGCTGAGAGTTTTACATTGGGGTCCACAGGCAACAGGAAGAGAGGCCACTGGGTCTGGTTTGGGCTTCTGAAACCTCCACCCCCCCAGTGACACACTTCGTCCAACAAGGCGATTCCTTGATGACTACGTATTCAAATATATAAACCTATGTATGCTTTTTTTTTTTTTTTTTTGGTTTTTTTCAAGACAGGGTTTCTTTGTAGTAGACAGGTGTTAAGGTGGAAGCTTCACCCCAGCCCCTGGCATCCATATACCCTAGAGTCTGGGATGTTCTGGTGAAGTTCCACCCAACCTCCCTCCCCTATCTCTCTCCAAACACTGTTGCAGCTCAGAAAGCCCACTAAATGATGACCTCTCCCCCAGAGATGCTCAAGACCACTCCCATAGGGTATTTAAACTGCCCCCCCAGAAACCAGACTCTTGGTTTTCAGGTCCTTCTTTCTCACTTCCTCTTTAGGGGGCTGGAAGGCCATTAGTGAAGGCTATATTCATTAAACGCTGGCCTTTTCTAATTCGGTTTGATTTGGATTGTTGCACCAGCAGAGAGGCTTATTGGGGTGTAGAAACTTTTCAACAGGGTTTACTCTCTTTGTAGGCCAGGTTGGCCTCAAACTTGCAGAGATCTGCCTGCTTCTGCCTTCTGTGTGCTGGAATTATAGGTGTGTGCCACCACGGTCCTACAATGGGTGATATTCTTATTCAAATCACCACACCTGTTTCAAACAAATAAAACTCAGTCATACATGCAGGCAAAATACCCATTCACAGAAATTAATAATAATTTGTAAGAATTAAAAAATATAATTTTTCTTTTCTTTTTTTGGGGGGGTAATTTTGAGACAAGGTTTTTTTACCTAATAGTCCTGGTTGTCCTGCTCTGTAGACCAGGCCTTGAACTCACAGAGATCCGCCTGCCTCTGCCCCTAGAGTGCTGGGATTAAAGGCGTGCGCCACCACCACTGACTCTATCTTTTATCTCTCTCTCTCTTTTGAGACAGTCTTATTATGTAGCCCAGCTGGCCTCAAACTCACAGAGATGTACCTGCCTCTGCCTCCTGAGTGCTGGGACTAAAGGTGTGTGCCACCAGCATGGCTACAAATTCTGTACAAAGTGAAAAAAGGCGCTAGGAGATGGTTTAGTGGGTAAAAAGGCTTGCCACCCACGTCTAGTGATGAGTTCAGATTGGCAGCACCCAGGTAAAGTGTTGGATGTAGTAGTGTGCATCTGTAATTTCAGCATTGCTATGGAGAAACGGGAGACGGGATCGCTGAAAAGCCTGTGGGCCAGCTATCCTGGAGTACACAGCATGGGAGAACTAAGAGACAATGTGGAAAACAGGGTGTGAAGCAACAACTGGTTTCCAGAATTTGTTCTCTGACCTTCACACATGCTCTGGCATTTTACATACACATGCTATGTACAAACACACCTACAAAATTAAACAAACGAACACACAACTTTTAAAAGAGTAGATAAAAGTAAGTTAACACCCCTCAAGAGCCATATGAGCCCTATTAGTAGTTGGTGTTTATCTGTTCCTTCTTTTTCCTTGTGTGCACAAAGATACAGGCAATAAGGTGGGGTCCTTTCACCGGACAGCTGCTTCCCTATTACCTGTGTCTTCCTTGTGTTCTTTCATTTGTCTGGAGGGCCAGCTACTCTATTAAGTGCAAGATTAACAGGCAATAAGGACACATTTCTCTAGGGTGTCTGGGAGACTTGAGAGTCAAGCACCTGACACTGAACCCCTCCTGGTCTCCTCCCACAGAGCTCCACCACTGCCTCTGCCACTCCAAACACGGCAGATCCATTCCCCCCATCACACAGCCCAAACGACTCCCACCCACATCCAATCTGCTGTGAGCCTCCCGGATCTCTCTTTAGAAGATGCCAAAGCAGCAGCTTTTCATCATTCCCCTAATCCTTTTCCTCTTCCCCTCCTCTCATCTTACTACATAGCCAAGGATGACCCCGAACACCCTGATCCTCTTGCCCCTGGCTCCCTAGGTGCCTGGATCATAGGTGTGCACACAGCTTCCTCTTCCTTCTTGGCTGGCTGCTGCAATGGCCTCCTAAGTGGTCTTTCTTTCCTGTGGTTGTCTGTTCTTAACATCATCACCAGATTGCTCCTTCTACATGAATCACACTACTCCTCTGTCCAAACGCTGCAAACAAGTACTCACTCTATTTGGAATCAAACCACAGTCTACAAAAAGGACAATGGGACTCTTCATGATGTAGTCCCTGGTCCCATCTTCTTTTTCCTTCTCCTTGTTCTTAGCTTGCTCCAGCCCAGATCGAAAAAGGATGCTATCTATAGCTTTGGGGCCTTGGTGCTAACACACTGGTGTCTCTGTAGCTCACCCCTTCACTGACTTCAAGTGCTTCTCAGAAGGCTTATATCAGCTCATATTAAAGCTGTGTCCCCCACACGCAGCATTCCCCGAAACCTACTCACTTCCTTTCTTTCCATAGGTTCCTGTTTCCACAGTGGTTCCAGGGGACTGCATTCAGGGTCCTGAGCATACTAGGTACATGTGAGCATACCAGGTACATGTGAGCATACCAGGTACATGCTACCTCTCCACTGTGCCCCCACTGCTGCCTCCCATTCTCCAGCACAGTGTGCACATGCCTTTCGCTGCTCATTATTTATAGTCTGCCTTCCCCTTCTAGAATGAAGGCTCCAAGGAAGACAGAGTCCTGGTATATCACCAGCACCAGAGCTGGGCACACAGTAGGTGCTCAATGAAAGTGGACCATTGGTCTATTTTTCATGAAAGGGTTTCTCTGTGTAGCCCTGGCTATCCTGGAACTTGATCTGTAGACTCAGAAATCTGCTGTCTCTGCCTGCCGAGTGCTGAGATTAAAGGCGTGTGCCACCACCTGACTAACCAATTCTTTTTTCACACAATGAAGCTGTGCAGGAGACAGGAAGAAGCCAACTGCTTTCCTAGTGTCACACTTGACACTTGCTTACCTCTGTGTGTGTGTGTGTGTGTGTGTGCACTCATTAACACTTATACATGTGGATGCTAGAGGCTGATGTTGGGTGTCTTCTTCGACAGCTTTCCACCCAGTTACTTAACTGTTACCATTGTTGCTGGTGTGTGTGTGTGTGTGTGTGTACACAGATGTGCACCTATGCATACTATGATATGAATGTGGAGATAAAAGGACAGCTTTTGCCAGGCGTGGTGGTGCACACCTTTAATGATAGCATTTGGGAGGAAGAGGCAGGTGGATCTCTGTGAATTCAAGGCCAGAATGATCTACATAGCAAGTTTCAGGACAGCCAGGGCTACATAGAGAACATGTCTCATAAAAATAAACAACCATAACAACAGAAAAAGTAGACAATTCCTGAGTTTGAATTCCCCTCACTTCCAACCAATAGTTTGCGGCTTCTTAGACCAAGTCCTCCAATAATGCTACCATCAAGTGGTCCCTGGTGGGAGTCTTACATGACCTTCCTTTATCCCTGGCTGACATTTTCCATCTGTCAGGAGCAATGGTGTCAGGGATTGCTTTGGCTATGGTAACAGCCACCACACACCATGTCAATTTCTCATCTTAAAGTTCTGGAGACAAGGAGTCCAGTTTATCCACAGGCCGAGTCATGGTGTCAGCAGGCAGGGCTGCTTTCTTTGCAAGCTGCAGAGAGAAATCAGTCTGTCTGCCCTTTCCAGCTCCTGCTGACTGCCTGCATCTCTCGCCTTGCGTTCCCTCCTCCGTGCTCACATCTGACCCCTGATGCCATGCCTGATGATCAGAGTTCCATGCCCAGAACCCACACAGTGAAAGGAGAGAACTGAAAGTCGTCCTCTGAACTCCACACGTGCTATGTGTGTGCTCACAGCCACCTCTAACTCCAGCTCCAGGGGATCTAATCCCCTCTCTGGTCTTCTGGTCTCCATGTGTACTGCATACATATAGCATAAATAGAGATGCGGGTGGACACTCAGCATGACAAGTGTATCCTAGTGAGGAAATGACTTACCCAGTCCTTCCAATTCCTGGACCACTTCTTTCCAGACAGGCTCGATATGGATACAGCTAAAGCACCAATCTGACGTGATCTTAATGAGGTAGGGTTTCTTGAAGCTATCGGGTACCACTTCATTCACATAGTGTGAAAAGTGCAACAGGTACTTCTCATCAATTGAGTCCCGTCGCTCCGAATTGAAAGGGAAGTGAAAAAACGACTCATCGAAATAAAAGTTCTCATGGAAATGGCGGAAGCGGTACTCTCGCTGCTGCTTCTGGTAGCCCTGGCTTTCCCCAGCATCGCCATAGTGGTCATAGTTTGTCCTCTTTTCCTCATTGGACAGAATCTACGAGCAAGCAGAAGGCAAGGAATCTAAAGGAGGAAGTAGTTTACCAAAGGACTTTCCTTTCTCTTCTCTTTTTCCAGGACTAAGGACTGAAGCCAGGCATTGTCCACCCTTGGCAAACCCTTTACCACTGGGCCACACCCCAGTCTCAGGTGATGTTTCTTTTTTTTTTCTTTTTTTGAGACAGGGTTTCTCTGTATTGTTTTGGAAGCTGTCCTGGAACTCGCTCTGTAGACCAGGCTGGCCTCGAACTCACAGAGATCCGCCTGCCTCTGTCTCCTGAGTGCTGGGATTAAAGGCATATGCCACCAATGCCTGGCCCCAGGTGATGTTTCTATAAGCAGCCTGAAGGAAGTACATTTTGATAAATGTACAGTAGGGATGCTGGGTTCAGCCTCCAGCAAGGGGAAGAGGAAGGGGGAGGGAAGGGGAGATTATGACCTTACCATCCCTAGAATCCACAAGGCAGGAGAGCCAACTCAAGCAAGCTTTCCTCTGACCTCTACACGGGTACTGTGAAGTATGTAGGCCCACAAAACACACACATACACAAAATAAATAAGTTAATCTCAAACCTCCAAACAGAAACAGTAAAACCCTCAAATTCTATCTGCTGAGATCTCCACACTCATGATAACATTAAAGCTGTCAACGATTTCAGTAAGTACTAGTAAACAAGAACAAATAAGACCAACATAACGACATCACTAGGATGTATCACACAACATTACCCTGGCTGTGTCTTTGAAGTTAAAATCATTTAGACCAAAGTATGGCATGCATGAACACTAAAAAGTACCAAAGAGTAGAAGAGTAGAGTCCAGTGCCTTATGCATGAGATGACTTCCCTTTTTGCATTTACGTTTACTTAATGTCTGCCGGGTACAAGTGTGGAGGTCAGAGGCCACCTTGCAGGAGTCAGTTCTCTCTTTCCATCAACTGGATCGCAGGGATTGGGCACAGGTCTTCAGGCTTGGCAGCAGGTGCCCTTGCCCACCGAGCCATTTCACCACTGACTTTGTTTTACTGAAAGCTAACTCTAAAGACTAAAATTCGATACTCTTTTTAGGGTGATGAGTCACTCACTGTACAGCCTAAGCACTATTGATGAAGCAAATTACACTAACAAACCAGGCAGCCAGAGACTCACTGCTTACATGTATTTGAGGCCATGCTATTTAAGGTGACACGTTGGAGACTTACCAAAAATCTTGTGTTTTAAAGTTACTTGTAACCTTGCGTAACCAGGCAAACTGGTGTGTGATACTTTAACCTATGTCTCTACAATCATAACAGACATCTGTTCCGGGTAATTGCACAATTCTAATTAAAGCTTTCAAAGTGGGCCAGGCTTTCCAGGAGCTGAAATGTTCAGGCACCTGCTTCAACATGTTGGAGGGAGCCAAGCTATTTTCTGTAACATCACGAGGAAACTGGGTCAGGGTGTGGGGAATGTGCCCTGCTGAGGGGATGGTATAGGACTGACCCACCTTTGGCCTGGGTTCCTTTTGTTTTGCTTTGTATATGTGTTTGCATTTCTGTTTGCATGCACGTGAGCTCACATGCTGTGGAAGCCCAAAGCTGATGTCACTATCTTATTCACTGAGCTAGAGTTGCTCCACTGAACCCAGAGCTCTCAGTTAAGGCTAGCTTAGCTAGCCAACTGCCCTGGGGATCCTTTCTCAGCCTTCTGAGTGCTGAAATTGCAGGTGGACTGCCAAGCCCATAAGCCTTTGTGTGGGTTCTGCAGATCCAAACTTCGGATCCTGCTTGCAAGGCTGAGATGCTGAGCCATCCCCCCAGTTCCACCACCCCATTTTCTGGGTGTTAATGGAGGTGCTAGAGCGTCTGACACGTACCTCATAGGCCTTGCTGATCTGAATGAACTTGTCCTCTGCTCCAGGGTCTTTGTTTTTGTCAGGATGCCTGAAATGCAGATGGCAGCCAGTGAGATGAGAATTTTTTTTTTTTTTTGGTTTTTCGAGACAGGGTTTCTCTGTGGCTTTGGAGGCTGTCCTGGAACTCGCTTGGTAGTCCAGGCTGGTCTCGAACTCACAGAGATCCGCCTGCCTCTGCCTCCCGAGTGCTGGGATTAAAGGCGTGCGCCACCAACGCCCGGCTGAGATGAGAATGTTTTATGCATAATCATTTTATAACCTTGTACTTATAACTCACAACATCAGAAGCAAAGGGAAGGTGGTTTTGTTAGGACATTTCCTAAAATACATGGTAGAAACAATCAGTTGTTTCACATGACCACAAAATAAATGCAACTTTAACGCAGTCAATTTCCTCTGAGATGCTCCAGCTGGGCACATTCTCAAAGCACCAAGAGCACCGCAGCGTGCCACTGAGGAGAGGTGACACATGCATGTGCTCATCCTCATCCCAAGCACGACTCGAGCGGGCTCAAGGCTCAATCAGTTACTCATGCTGTCCCTGGACAGCAGTGTTCCCTCCCTGTGTCATGCTGGTCTTGCAGGTGTTTTGTTTTTATTTTTCCCCCTGACCAAAGGCAACGGGTGCTGGCAAAGCTGCGGTCGTAAGTCTCCCATGCCTCCCGCCCACTCTCAGATCAGACCCCGTTTTTGCCACTGCCCTGCCGATCCCACTCTACCTGTGACTGGCTCCTTTTCCCTCTCTACAAGTGGGTAATCATTTCAAGGTCCTGTGTTCACAAGCTGTGAGAAAGGTAAAAGTCCATGCACGGTTATTTCAGCTCACCTCTGAACTAGCTGGCACTTGCTGTCTCCACTTGAAGCTATGCTATTCTGTATCTTTTCATGTCTGCAGTAATGTCATCTCTGGGGACCAAAACTGTTTTTGGAGACAAGGCTGGTTATAAACTCGGAGCCTCCTGTTTCTACCTTGAGGTGTGGGGTTGCAGGTGTGGGCCACCTCACCCTGGCAGTCTTGGGGATTTTTTTTTGTTTTTGGTCTTGGAGTACAGAAACTAGCCACATTTGCTTCCTTGCTGCCCTCTAAGATGGAGGTCAGACGTTCACAAAGACTTTCACTGGTTATGATATGAAAAGACTCTATTTGGCTTTGACATAGAAGCTTGGTATATAGCCCAGGCTAGCCTCAAAATCTTCATCCTCCTGCCTCAGCATCGTGAGAGCTGGGATCACAGGCCTGTTCTACCACGACCAGACACATTTATTCCTTGCTGTTGTTTTGAGATAGGGTCCCTCTATGTAACCCTGACTGTCTTGGAACTCTTTGTGGACCAAGCTGACCTCAAGCTCACTGAGATCTACCTGTTTCTGCCCACCACATACTGGAATTAAAGGCATGCACCACCAAGCTTGGATCCATTTATTCTTTTTTTCTCATTTATTCTTTATATAATCACATCCACTAACCTTATGAAATTTCTTCTAGCAAACATTCTGGAAAAACAATTCACAGGGAAGTAGAAAAGACTGGCAACACATCAAATGCATTTAAAGTGAAAAATCTACAATTCTATAAACTTATTCAAGCAGGAATGTCTGAGTGGTTCACATTTCATATTCCACTCTCTCTAAAAACAGAACTTCAAGTGACGTGAACTTTGATACTATTCGCCCTTATCCACTGAATCCTCGCATAAATATCCCTGAGGTTAAGAAGTAAATGTCAGGTAGGCAGGCACAACGGTAACAGCAGGACTTAGGGACGGGATGGTCAGAGGAAGAGTGGACAAAACTGTGCAAGCCTGCACATGCTGACCTGACATGAGGAACCAAGCTACACAGGGCAGCAAGGGAGGAGGGGTTTGCAGGAGAGCGAGGCAGTGTCGGTGGCGCTGGGTAGAAGGTTATCGAGAACCTCAGAAGGTGCCCAACAGTCTGAACTGATAAGGAGTACTTTCCCAAAGGTGGGGGACCTCTCAGAGTTGCAAGTAGTTGGAAAAGGGAAGTTCAACCCGAGGAAAGTGCTGTCTGGTGTTGTGTTCAGAAGTGAGAGAAATTCATAAGCTGCCTCCTGCCAAGCAACTTTCCATTTCATAGTGAAGAAAATACTGTGCATGGGCTCACCTGACTGTCAGCATGACCTCTAAAGGAATAAAAATGAAGACACAAAGAAGTCATTTCAGCTAAGAATGAGGTGGATTGATTTATACGCCTTGGCTGAGCAAGCCATGTAATGCCAATCTGCTTCTCCTAGGGGGGCCTTGGTACTCTGCTAATACAGATGGCAAATAAAAGCACCCACAATAACACAATTCTTGAGTGAGAAATACAGTTTTACTGACAGAAGAAACAGTCATTTCACATGGTTTCACCAAATAAGTAACACTTTTTATGAGGTCTAAGAAATACTTAGGAAAGTACTTGGCCAAATATGGTATGACTGCTAACTGCTTCCCCCCTCAGAACGTTCGGGAAGCCAAGCAGCATCATAATGGCACTTTCAGTGTTTCTATGAAACCCTCTAGAGGGGACACAGACTAAAGTAAGCGAGAAAACACTGCCAGGGCCCTAACAGCAGAAGACTGGAGGATGGTACAAACACTCAGGTAAAATACGATTTCAATGCACACAGCCAACTCTTCCTTTGTATGGTCATGAATTACTCCAAGAGAGTCCAACAGCAGGGAAAGGACAGTTCATTTAACCAACAGCAGAGCATCTTTTAAAGCACATGATAGAGAAGTCACAGCTGTGCACTGCAGCAGGTCCCATGTCCTTAAGCTAGCATTGTGCCAGGCAACGCTAGATACCCCGTCTAAAGGCTGTTACTTCTGAAGTAACTGCAGGTTGTCATCTGCTGTACGCACAGCGAGGCATAGCCCTGAAATATTACTGAAAGCCAATTTGGCAAAGAATTGCTGGAAGGAGGCCATGCACTGTTCGACAAGGTGTTTTCAGCATCCAACCTCCTTGTGATATGAATATAGCCCCAAATACGTATTCATAGCATTATAAATGACCTCTGATCTTCACCACTAGTTTAAAATGGAGCCATATCTGCTGAGTCAGGAAGAATGATGCCAGTTAGAGTCAGGCAAGGTTACAGACTCATCTGCTCAAGGGACTTTGTTGGCCACCCAACTGGACACTCATTCCCACCAAAGCACAGCCTCCCTCAACCTTACTCGTGCACAGATGAGCAAGTGATTGCAAAGCCAAAGGCTACGCAGGGTTCCCAGCTCTGAGCTTCAATCTTTCCATTTGTATAGCGGGTTCAAACATCTCTTTCATGGGCTAACCCCAGAGGCATGCATGCAGTAAGTGCCCAATAATAGCACGCCTGTTCCTCTCTCCACAGCTACTTAACACTTGTGCTTCTCTGGCTGGGCTAAAGCTGTCCTGAGAGAAGTATGCCCCAAATAAGTTTACCACTTATTGCTCCTCTGTTAATTCTAAGCCTGAATTAAACAGGTAAAACCCTGACACTTGCCGTGAGCACACATAACACTCGCGAGAGGCAGGGACCGAGAGGCAGGGGTCCCTGTGAGTTGAGCACCAGCCTGCTCCACATGGCCAGTTCTAGGCCAGGCAAGGCTACATAGCAAGACAGAGTTTTCTCAAGATTTTTAAAAAAAAATACATACACATACACAAAATATGCTTGGTTCTTGAGTCTCCTTTTAAAATTGGAAGCCAAAGGACTTATCCTAAACTTGTTTAAAGCTTAGAGATTTAGAGAACCAAACTGTATGTTCCCTATAGCATTTACAGAGGCTGGAGAGATGGCTCAGTGGTTAAGAGTACTTGCTGCTCTCACAGAGGACCTGGGTTCAGTTCCAGCCTTCATATTGAGCAGCTCACAACTGCCTGTGACTCCAGCAGCTTCTTCGGATATAAACACAACTGAAAATGAAATCTTTGAAAAGCAGAATTATTGTTTAAAAAACAGAATAAGCTGGCACGAGAAAGACAGCTTATCACTGTTGGTGACTTATTTGCTCTAGTGG